AAAACAAGGCAAACATCTATAAATGCGTAGCCAAGCAAGTAATTGCAAGGCCTTTGGCTCTGTTGAACAAGGCTCACCGCTCTGTGTAATAAACACGCTATGATGTTTTCAGCATTAATGTAACATAATAGAAAGAGTGTTAAGGAAAAAGAGGCTTATTTGCTCCTGTAATGAAACAACAGCATGGATTATCTTCCTTGAATTTACAGCCGCTTATCATCAGCGAGAGACGAGATACAGACATCGGAGAAAAAGACAGAAACGAAGGGAGAAAAGGAAATGAGAGAGCAGAACCCCAGCTGTTCTGTCCTGCTGGGAGACCAGCGGAGATGGCTGTTGGCGAGAGAGACTGTCAGATAGACAGAGATATAAAGCCTTGATGTCAAAGACAAAAAAAGGGTCCTTCTAGCTTGCATTCAGTTTCCTTTTATCTGAACTTGTGTGTGTTTTCAGAGGAAGTGTGGGGAGTGCAAGAGCTCAGAGGGCACCGTGTGAGAGCAGAGACACATTACATGCATGTGGGGGGACAGTGGTGTCTGCACGCAGTGTGTTAGCGCATGCCGTGTGTGTGTTTGTGCATCGGGGGGTTACGATGTGTTTTTCTTCGTGCTGTTTTCCTGCATGTGTGTGTGTGGTTGAGTCGAGAGGACGTGAGAAGAGGATGCTCTCCCACATACTTACGCCCGTGATTTATTGCACACTGCATGCCCTCAGAGTGTGTGTGAGTGTGTGAGTGAACCTTTGCACCCCTTCCCTCCTCGGTGAACAGTCACTTTATTAATTTTGTGGCTTTATGTAATCACGTAGAGGAGAAACATTAATCTGCTGCCTTTTCACCTCACATTAAGTTTCATTAAGTGTTGTCTTGAATCACAGCTGTGGACAGAGGCGTAAACTTAACTACAAAGCAAAAGATTATTGTTTTTCGTCGTGTCACGGTTTAAAGAAACTAGATGGTTGTATCATATGTGTCATCTTTCTACCACTTACAGCTCACACTTTCACTTCTAAGAGTTTACATATCAGGACACAAATGATCACGTGGTCCTCAGCAGGTCAAGTGCATACAGCATCGGATTAATATCAACAATATTAGATTGTGTCATTATTTATTTAACAGAAATTAACCAAAGAAGAGAAAAAACTCAACTCAAATATCTGTGAGCTGATAAAAGGACAATCATTTCAGTTTATTTGGCCAATGTGTAAAATTAAATTAACAGTTTAAAACATTTGAAGGTTAATCCTGCTGTACAGAATAGCTGGGATTTATCCTGTGTATGCAGTACTGTGCACGAATATTAAGCCGCCCTCATTTTCTGTATATTTTGCAAACATACATGGAAATACAGCAACAACTGAGTTTGTGCAATTCTAAATAGTCTTCAGGAGTCGTTCTCCAGGCTTCTCGGAGGTCATTCAGAGCTCTTCTTTGCTTGTTTCTGCCTTTTGTACCTCTCTCTGATTCAACACTGCTTCAATGATGTTGATGTCCGAGCTCTGCAGAGACCAGTCCATGACTGATCATGTTCCACTGTGTTTGTTTTCACAGCACTGCCACAGTGTTGGGATCATTGTTGTGCTAAAAAAGGAAGCTGTTGGCATTCAGACACTCTTTACATGGTTTTGCATGTTGGATCAAAATCAGTTTTATCAAGATCTCCAACACCGGTGGCTAAAATGCAGCAGCAAATCACAAAAGAGCCTCCACCGCGCTCGAGAGATGGCTCTCGTAGTGTGCCGAAAGATACGACTTAAAACTAGTTCTTTGCTATATTGCCTCTTCTTGTTCATTCCCTGAAATAGACGACTTTTTCATGTGTCAATGATTCATAGGTCAGGATTAAGTGGCTTAAAAAACAAGCAAAAAAGCATTTCTCTGAAATTGGATCAGGCAAAAGGACGAGACTGAAAATGAGTGAAAAGCAGCCAATGTCCTTCAGGAAGCCGGAGAACTTTGGCTCAAGAGCATTTAAAAAAAAAGACAAAGTCTGGCTCATTGGAAGGAAATAAAAGAGAGATGACTTTTGCACATCGCTGTATGCAGCTCATAGAAGTGTGACTCAGCAATATCGGGCTGTCTCCCATTATCCTAACTGAGCTCCAGTTCTGCAGACGGACTCCAAACGTCGCACTTCTAAATGTTCCTTTCTGTCTGCAGGTTTTCCATGCCAACGCTGACGCCACGGAGGTGGTCCTCAATCGAATCCCACAGCCGGTCCTGGCCCGCTTCGTGCGGATTAAACCTCAGACGTGGAAGAACGGCATTGCGCTGCGGTTCGAGCTCTACGGCTGTCAGATCACGGGTAAGACAGATGATGCTTTTTTTTCCTGCGGAGTTTCTCAGACTTTCTCGGGGCAGGGGTCAACCTCCTCCTGGGATTCCAGCGAAAACACAGAAGTCAGTTTGTCAAGTGCAGGAATATGTGGAAGGTTTTTCTTTATTTGTATAATCTAATAATAAACAGGTTTGTAATTTGTCCATCCATTAACTCCTATTCATAATTCTGTTCATGCCGCCTTCTTGTCTTTTTCTCCTTTTCACATGTGTGCAACACACCCACCCTCGTGTGCACTCTTGCCCTTTCATATACATACACCCCTTCTCTGTCTCCCACTCGCACACACACACACACACACACACACACACACACACACACACACACACACACACACACACTCAGTCCTAATAGAATAATACTAGAGTGTGATGTGTGGGTGATAACATCAGAGAGTAACAGGCTCTCAGCTTTCATCTGCAGCCCTGGCAAACAAACACGATTTCAACCAGCATAATCAGCTCAATACTATAAATAGATAAAACTTAATTAGACTGTCTGTGTTTGTGTGTGCGTCTGTGCGTATATGGTAAAAGACAGAGAGTTTCAATCCATTTGAGCATATCTGTGTGCATGTGTGTCCCGCTCCACTGTATCATTATTAGGTTAGGGCCTCTCTCTGCTGCCATTGAGAGGGACAGATATGCTCTTATCCAGGAGGGCTATTTCAGCACCCACACAAATCACAATCACACCGAAACAATATGATACTGAGTGTGTGTGTGTGTGATAGATAGACAGGGATGTGGAATATATCAGGTATCTTGCCTGTGTTTTTATTTTTTTACTCTATTTTAACACCTGAAATTGCATTATATATCACTCTGCCTTTTTCACTGCTTTCAGGAGTGAGAGCATATATAACCCCGTATTTTGGGGCATCGCCCTGCCTTTTGCTCATCCCTGCCACCTTGCGATTCCTGTCATCCATCATGAGAAAAACATTGAGTTTATATGCAAAGTCTTGACACTTTCAAGGCTGGTTTTTGTAACGAGGGATGTCAGAGTTTGATATTTCCGAGGCTCGTGGCGAGAAGCAGAAACTGTTCTGCTGCAGTTTCAGGGAAAATGTCCATAACCTGCTGAAAAAGCCCAAACATAGCTGCTAATGGCCATGCAGTATCTTTTCTGAGCACACAGACATGCAGGCAAACACACAGTCAAACACACTGCCAGGGGGAATGTGATAATGCCCTACACAAGCCTATAAAGGCAGACATAAAGCAGTCAGTCACTGACATGTCATTAACTTAAATCACACTTTTATGTCTTCTGCTCTACTTTTTCCTCCGTCTCTCTCTCGTCAGTATGTTTTTCTTCCTCTGTCCTTCTTTTACCTTTGCTGACAGCCACCATTCCTTCTTCCAGCATCCCTTCTTTAAATCTTCCCGTCCCTGCTTCATTCAGCTCTTCCTCCCTCCATCGCTTCTCCCTTAATCTCATTTTATTTTAGCACCGCAGCACTTATCAATCATTTATTTTTAGCACCTTTTACTATTTTTCCCAGCAGGGCTTGTGTAGCGTGTGTATTTGTAGAAACTACACACGTGTGCGTCCAGCTGTGCGTATGCATCAGCTAAGTAGCGCCTCGGCGCCGTACTTGTGAGACCCCGTTATCAGAAACGGCGCAGTGGGAGTTTGTGTTCACCTGTGTGTGGGCGAAACATCAGAGCATACGTGAGAGGAAGTGGGCTTCTGAGAGACCTTTACTGTCCGACTGCTGTGTGCATGTGCGTGCATTTGAGAGCTGAAACTGTTTCTGCTGTGCTATCTGTAGAGGTGATATGCTGCACTCCTACGTTAAAGGAGCTGCTAAAATACACTGATGCAGGAAATAAGAAACACAAAATAAATGACACGGGAACAGCGTTTCCTTCTAGCTAATCGGTTTTCATGTCTGCTGTAGAGCTCGAAGGAGCCACCCAGCCTGGCTGGAGCTGTTGTTGTTTATTGTTGATTCATTATTTACCATTCTGAGGCACAAACGTCACGGCATTAAACATTCATCTCCGTGAAGACCTGAAGAATGTCACCATCAATCAGCGTCAACCTTCACTGTCAGCCGGCTCTCTCTCTTTCCCACTTGCATCTCCCTCGCTCCCTCTTTCTCACCCTTTCCTATTCACTTGCTGCCTTTTCAGTCCATCTCCCCGTTTGACCTTTTGTCTATCTCTTTATCGTCCCTTTGTCCTCTAACTCCTCCTCCTCACCTTTGTCTTCCTTTCCTCCATCGCTCTTGTCTTCGTCCCAGATCAGAACTGGTCACTTTGGTTTTTTTGGTTCCTTTTGTGTTTCGTCATTATTCATGGCAGTACCATATTTTGATGCTTGTCGAACTAAAAACCATTTGTCAGTGTAATAAACAGTATCCCTTTGATCTCCAACATGCTTTCACTTAGTGCTTCCATTTGAGAGTTCTCTGGCTCAATTCCCCATGAAGAATCCCCCTTTTGGTAGGCAGGTTAAAATTATGCATCAACTTTGCAGCAGCAGGAAGGCAAAATAATGAAATGGGCTGATGGAAAGCAGCTCAAAGGCACCGCGCCGCGTAACACACAAGTTGTTGTTTGTGTCACAAACACAACATTTTGCTCCCAGATTAGATCAAAAGGTGGCGCAGAATTATTCCAGACCTGAAAGCGACGTTCATTTATGAAGGATTGTTAAAAGACAGATGCTTTGGTGTAGCAGGAGCCTGCAGACGGAGAACAGTTTGGACAGTCCAGCATCGTTTGAAGAATCATGAAAATATCCGATTATGGCCCATTATGTCCAAATTACTTACCAGATACAGTCCTGTGCAAATGTGTCTTTGTATTTTCTCTCTTTGTTACTTTGTTACTAGCAGCATGTCCCAAAATTCAACTAAAGAAATGTCTTTAGTTGGCTCAATAAAAAATAACAAAGTTTGACAGACATGAAATTGGATTTTTGCACCAACAAGGTGATTCCCAAAGTGCGATTAGCTGGAAACTTGGCATATCTCAGCCTGGTGTGCAGTGTGTCCTTAAAAATTTAAGAAAACTGGACCAAAGTGGCGGACCGAAGAAGAAGTGGTGTGTCCTGGACTGACTGTGGCTACAGGTCTGATGGAGCGATGAATGCAAATTGGACATTTCCAGTTCAAGTCGTTGTCAGCATGTACGCAGGAGGTCAGGAGAGCGGTCCAACAGTGAGTGCCAGTGCAGTGAAGGCATATCCTAGCTGAAAAAACACACAGTGGAGCTTCAGTCATGGATGGGTCTCCCCAGGACTCGGACCTCAGCATTACTGAAGCAGTGTAGGATCATCCAAACACAACCAAAGGCAGAAACATCCAAGAAGAGCTTTAAATGTCCTTCAGGAAGCCTGGAGAACCTTTCCTGAAGATCCTCAGGGAAATTAGAAGAAAGCCTTTTTAACGAGGAAGGTGGTCGACATGTGCTGCACCTTTATCCCCAACAATACTGCTCCAGATGGCTCAGTAACCCGAGCTCTGGAGGGCCGGAAAATTTGTCTAAAACGATGCATGAGCACTCAGGTATCGGAAACCCAGTGGAGTCCTGGGTGGCATCCGTGTTTGGACGGGTGGATTCAATCTACCTGAGGAACTTAGATGGGCCGAGGAGTGATACAACACGAGGTGTGGTGTCCTGTCCTGAATGTCAAAAGAGGGAATGTGGAGATACAGAAATTCTTTTATTGCTGCCATATAACCTGCATCATTATAATTGTATTAATAACATTCTTTACAGCATTATTCCATTTAATAATATTTCTTACAGATACTGCATTACAGTTGTTTATTGAAGATGTCCATTTGAGGATCCTTCCGTTATGTTAACTTTTATTACAAGTACGGTTAGAAGTATTTTATACACATTGCATATCTGTGCCTATCTTGAGTTGATGTTCGGTTCATTAAGGGTCTTAAGCTTCACTGCCGTGACTGTCCAGGTGATCCATGCTGAGGGAAACTAGAACATAGAAGGATAACTGCATGCTTACAGTACATATAATACATATAATCTAGGAATAGGCCTGAGCAGAGGCCCAAATGTTTCCAGCTTCTTGTTGCAAAC